GGAATTGCCTTGGAGGATTGGAGGAAGGTAAATGTGGTTCCTATATTCAAAAAGGGTTCAAAATCCTTGCCTGAAAATTATACACATGTGAGCTTAACTTCTGTGGCTGGGAAAGTGTTTGAAAGGTAATCAAGAGATAATATTCAGGAATTCATTGGGAAGAACTTTGTTATTAGCAATAATCTGCATGGTTTTAGGAAATATAGGTCATGTCAAACTAACCTAATTGCATTCTACAAAGAGGTAAGCAGAAGTATAGATCAGAGTGGAAGTGGATGTGATCTACTTGGATTTTGCCAGGCAATGTCAATCAGCAGTGGCTAAGGCCATTAAGGTATTGTCATGTATAAAAATGGGCATTAGTTCTCAGAATCAAGATATAATTTTGCCTCTCTAGAACTTACTTGTAAGATCACACCTTGAATATGCTGTGCAATGTTGGGCACCTGTGCTTGAGAAAGCTAAAGAAGGATATTATAGCACTAGAAAAAGTGCAAAGGCGGGCTACAAAATGAAGAAAAGTTAGCAAATATCTTAAGTTTAGAAAAACAGATATAATCAAATATATCCGGACTAATACAAACCATTGTCTGGAACAAACGGGACTATACATAGGAAATACATTTGGACTATAAGAAAGGAGATTTAAACTAAGGCAAATTAAAAGTTTTTTTTTTTATTGTAAGACTAATAAGGATGTAGAATTCTCTGCCTGAAGAAGTGGTTTTATCAGTCTGTTCAAATGTTTAAACCCCAACTGGATGCCTACTTGCAAAAACATAATATTCAAGGATATAATTTTTCAATTGTAGGGAAATCACTTCTTGATCCAAGGATAAATCTGACTGCAATTTTGGGGTCAAGAAGGCAATTTTTCCAAGTTTGTTGCGAAATTGGAAGTGCTTTAAACTATTGTTTTTTGGGTTTTTTTTTTTGCCTTCTCTTGGATCAACAGCAGAAAAAAACAGATGAGAGAAAGGCTGGACTTGATAGGCACATGTCTCTTTTCAGCTTATATAACTATGTAACACAATATCAACAATATTTGGGTTCATAGTGGTGTGATAGATGAAGATGAGATAGATCTGCTTGAGAGCAGGATTGGTGGAAGAATACAAATATTTATGGTATTTTTAGTGGGGAAGCGGAGATAAAGCCCAACACACAGAACGTAGGTCAAACTTAGCTAAGGTTTGGATCAAAAACAAATAGAGGCCTATTACCATCCTTGGATTTGGCCAGACCTAACACAGAAACAGATAATATAGCAGCCTGAGGAACAGGCAAAAAAAAACTAAAAACAAGCCAAAGTCTAGAATTACAGAAATGCCTAAACACTGATGTACAATCCAGAGTTAAGGTGCTAAGAGTTGAGAATTACAAAGAAATAGCTGGGATCAAAATACCAGAAAAAAATACAAGGGAATCACCTCAATAGGGCAACGCAAATGCAGAAAGGGTTTTAAAAGACAAAGTATGTGATAATCTGGCTGGCATCATTTCTGTGACACCAAACAGTACAAAAGCCATGTTAGAAAAATGATGCAGGTATCTGTGCTTTTAAATTAATGCAGGGAAGTCCAGGGCCATAAAATAAAGTGGGTTCACAGTGACCAGCATCCAAAATGATTCCATTCCAAAATTAATCCTAACAGGTTGTAACGAATTCATCTGCTTATGGTAAAGTGGTTAATGGTATTTACCATCCTGACAGGAATAGTTGTGCCCATTTACAGCCGTGTGTCCAGATACCTGATAATCCCAGCATGTCTAGGGCCACTGGCCGCTGCGGATTTATGCCACCTTATAGCCCCATGACCGCCAACATTGTAAATAACGTTGGCGTGCGTGTGACATCACACACGTGCACGTTTTGGGGTCAAAGGCCGATTACAGCCAATCAGAATAACAGGAGGGTTATTTAAACATATTTTTTCATTCTCTCATTGCCCTGTTTCTGCCTGATGGTAATCCGAGGGTGCATTCCTAATCTTGATTTTTTGGTATTTGACTTTGGCTTCATTTTGACTTCCCTTATTTCTGGTATCCTTGACTTTTGGCTTTTCCTCATCGCTGTGTCTGATTCTATATCCCTGACCTCGGCAAGTATTCTGACTATTCTTGTATACGTTAAGTCCAGCCGTTCCAATGTCCGGTTAGATGTTAGTCCTAGGTGTGATACAGTTCTGCGTGCGGGATCAATTGGTAATCCTGACACAGATAGCATTACAATACCACAGTGAACGTTGCACACAGTATGCACATAATTTAACAAAAAGTTAAGATAAATTGGAAAATATGCATAGTATCACTGTCATAAAGGTATGAAACATGGAATTTAGAATAATGTCTCCAATTATACAAAGTGTGACTATTAAGGGAGGCAGTTGTACAAGGATGAATTAAACTATTTAAAAGCATAACATACATAAAATGATGTGCATGTAAAAGCAATGAGAGGATCATCTAGAAAACTAGCTGGCTCTGCTTTTTACTTCCAGTATTGCTGGTACATCTGGTGGGTGTCTCTTACCCAGTGGCGTACTAAGGGGGGGGCGGGGGGGGCGGCCCGCCCCGGGTGCCACTGTCCAGGGGGGTGCCATGACTTCAAGTGTCATGTGTCACCCCCCCGGCCCCAATCATCACGCTGCGCTCAGCCTCAGCCGCATCTTTGAGAAGAGGGAGGAGTCTTTGGGATGCGGACGTGGCGTGATGACGCCGTACACAGCGCCGCCGTCAGTCCGCCTTCACGGATCTTCAGCGCAAGGATCCAGTGGTCGGTCTCGGAGGGAAGGCATCATCAAAACGTGAGTAGTAATTTATGTGTTGTTTATGTAATTTATGTAATGTTATTTAATTAATTAAAAGGTGAATTAATTATTGGGGGGTGTATATTAATCATGGGGGGGTGTATTAATTGTGGGGGGTGAGTATTAATTATGGGGCTGGATTAATTATGGGGGGTGTATATTAATCATGTAAAGTGTATTAATTGTGGGGTGTATTAATTATGGGGGGGTGAATATTGAATGTGTGAATATTAATTATGGGGGTGTGTATTAATTATGGGGTGTGAGGCATACACTATGGGGGTGTGTATTAATTGGTGGGGGGTGGATTAATTATGGGTAGGTGTATATTAATCATGGGGGTGTATTAATCTCTTGTGGGGGTGTATTAATTGTGGGGGTGTATTAATTGCGGGGTGAATATTAATTATGGGGGTGTGTGTATTAATTATGGGGGGGTGTATTACCTGTGGGGGGTGGATTAATTATGGGAGGTGTATACACTCATGGGGGTGTATTAATTAGGGGGTGTGTATTAATTATGGGGGTGTATATTAATTATGGGGGGGTGTATTAATTATGGGGTGTATTAATTATGGGGGGTTTATTAATTATGGGGGTATATTAATTATGGGAGGTTGTATTAATAATGGGGTTGTATTAATAATGGGGGTGTATCAATTATGGGGGTGGTGTATATTATGGGGGTGGTGTATATTATGGGGGTGTATTAATTATGGGGGTGGATTAATTATTGGGGATGTATTAATTATGGGGGGGTGTATTAATTAGTGTGGATTAATTATGGGGGAGTGGATTAATTAAGGGGGTGGATTAATTAGTGTGGATTAATTAAGGGTGTGTGTA